CCAAAGCAGGCTTATTTGTAGAAGTAGCCCATTTCTATGCCCAAGATTTCAAGTCAAACTGGATGTTTGGTTTTTTTGGTTGGTTTTTTTTTTTTTTTTTTTTTTTTTTTTAAAAAACCTTTAAATTTTTTTTTTTTTTTTTTTAAAAAACCTTTAAATTTTTTTTTTTTTTTTTTTAAAAAACCTTTAAATTTTTTTTTTTTTTTTTTTAAAAAACCTTTAAATTTTTTTTTTTTTTTTTTTAAAAAACCTTTAAATTTTTTTTTTTTTTTTTTTGTTTTGTTTTTTTTTTTTTTTTTTTGCTTTTTTTTTAAAATGGTTTTGAAAAGAGATTCTGCAATCCCTCTCCAAAGAGGGACACATACCCTCTGTTCTTCCTGCTTTCAGCCACAATAGGAATTAAAGAAACAAAGAGGACCAGAGCTAGTTTCAAATAACTTGGTTGCAAATTTTAGGTCTTTAAGTCCTGCAAACACAGACAAGCTAATTCTACACACACGAGTAGTCCCGTTGAATTCAACAGAACTTGTGCGCGTGTAGTTAAATATGCTTGTAACAGTTGGCAGACTCAAGGCCTTGGATAGCGTGTCATTTGCAAATCAATTTTCTTTGAATGTATTTGTAAGCATTCAGAGGAATTTAGGTGAATTCTTTTCAGATTCATTCAAGCTATTCAAGGTGACTGTGCACCAACTCCTATTCATTTTGCCTGAAAGGTTTTAGAGAGGAAGATAATGCACTACCTGGTACAATTTTGATTTGGCTGAATGGTCGAAAATAATTAACAGATGAATATTAAAATGCAAGAGTTCAGGATTCTTAAATGCCTTTGCAAATACCCCATAGCCATCAGAATACCATGTTTACACAAAGAGAGCCCAAGTCCCACTGCTCTGGGTGCCATGCAAAGCAGTGAAATAGTGATAGGAGCAACCTTTGGAGAGTTTGAGGGCAAAGGATTATGATTAATGACAGCTGGCCAAACATAGAAGTTACTGGACAGGGAGAGGTAACAGTAGAAATGGGGACACATTGGGTGTCTATATGTGCTTGGGTGGCAGAGGGGGAGGCATTTTAAATTGGGTCAGTTCTCCGAGAGCTGCTGTAATTAAAACGCTACAGCATGATGTCTATTAAGCCCCTGCACATCTAAAAATGGCTGCAGGATGCTTTTACTAAAGCTCGTTTGGTTAAGTTGCCCCATTTTTAAGCCTGCAGGGGCTTGCAGCAACGCTACAGCATTCAAATCAGAACATGTGTATAGGCAAAGAAAAGCAAGAGGGGGTTGCTAGTCTTGGCCATTTTCAAGGGACATAGGCCAAGATGCAGAAGTGTGGCTAAGCAGAAGGCCCCAAAGCCCATTTCTGAGTGACCATAGAGTGAACCTGTGCAGATGTGACAGCCAGGTTGGTCAGCGAAGTAAAGGAAGAAATCAACATATCCAGCTCAACCAATAATGAGATCCAATTAAACAGAGCACAAGGCCTGGAAGGAAATGGAGCAAGGGAAGACTATAAATTAAGTAATCCAAATATAGTACATCATAGCTTCATCTTAAAGTGTTAGTAGTAGTGACTAAAGTAACCAGAAGTCTTAGATGCTCTTTTGCTGTAGTAGATATATTCTTGTTAAGGTGTGAAAACAAAGCAGACTTGTCAGTGAAGACAGTAAACTAAAGAAGAAACAGGACAGTGGTGACAGCATTCCACAATGGGTAAAGAAAGAAGATAAAAAAGCCCTCCCTTTTATTTTCTGAAAGATATAAATCCCAGCTAATTGGCATCTTCCGAGTCCACAAGAAATCAGATTCAGTTCTACCCAAAAGTTTCTATGAAACTAAGTAGTGTAAATAGCAGCAATCAGAAAACATTAGAATAGCTCATCTCTAAATATAGGGTGTAGGCTGGAGGGAAATTTAAAGAAGTGGGCAAGTTCACAAAGACTTGCTACCAGCCTGCATACCACCCCGCTTCCCCCCTGTTGGTATAGCCCCGCCATGTTGTACTGTCATAGTAGCCAGATGGACCTTGAAATAACTATTTGCTTTTATGTTTTGTGGTACATGCAATTAAAGGTCAGGCTCTAGACCCGTTTCTTGCCTCATTTGTCAGCAAGGTTACCTGTAACCTGGGTAACAGCAAGACCAATAAACCTCTGCTCTGAAGGGGGAAGGAGCTGAACTTGTGATTTTTGAAGGCTTGGAGTTGCCAATGCTGCCCATTGCATTTCACTTGTTTGGATGTGGAGCATGAAATCATGCATATTGCATGTCAAAAGGTTTCCAGGCCAAAGATACACTTTGACTTGGACGATCTATCTAGTGCTCATTTAATGGCAGAACCTCATTCCAAAAAGATACCACCTTCAATGCTGGGGAATCCATCCACTAGATGGACCCCTCCGCCATCAGCTGAATAGTTGAGCTGCTGGGGAAAACTCAAAGCAGTGTGCCCATCTCACTTCTGCTATTTGGTTTCCCAGCCTGGCATGAACCACATCCATCCCATCTCTGGGTGACCCCAGGGGTACAGTCACAGAGCTTGCCCTGCCCACTCCTACCACAGGTTCACCTAATTTTGGAAACAGGCAAAAGCCTATCCTCCATCCTTAGAGATGTTCCAAGTACACTCCATCGCACCCAGACCCAGTGCTCTAAACAGCATACATCTTCAGGATCTGGAGTAAGCAGTGCTTCAAGGCGCGGCGTGGAGATGGCATAGCCGTGCCCGGAAATCCTTAGATGAAGGCCAGAAGGGATCCTTACAATCCCCTCACTTCACCCCCTTCATGACACCAGCCATTAAATTTCACTTTGTGGTTCATGCATGGGTCCTATGCCATGTCCTTTACTAGCTTTTTGCACCTTCAGAACGTATTCATGTTGCAGCTTGCAATGGGAATCAATGCCTTGCTACACGAAGCATGGTCCGGATGCCTTGTGAAACCAACCTAGCTCCAGAGAGCCTGCAGTCTAAGTTTAAAACAAGAGGCAAGCAGCAAAAGCTACACAAGTGAGGAGGAGAAGGCGGGGTGGTAGGAGAATGCAGTGGCCAGTTACCTGCACATGTACAAATCCAAATTAGTCAGGACTAAAGGAGGACGCCAGCCAGAGTTTGCGCCAGCTATCTAACTAGCCTTACTGACACAAACTTGACTCTTCCTGTGGTCTTGTAACTAGCATTAAGCCAACAGATCAGGTGTACAATTAGCCAATAAGAAGAGCACTTAGCAATCCCCCTAGTACCAGGAGGGGCAACATATGGGAGGGTCTGAGTAAGGCCAAGGCCAAGAGACATAACCCATACAGTTCAGAGAGCAGCTCACAAGTCAGTGGCTTGTAGTAGGGATACAGGTGGGCAAGGGAAGATATGGCAGAGGGCAACTGACCTGCATGCCCCCAGGGGGAGGCGACATTGTGCTGGGATACTTGGGCTGCTCCGTGAATGCTTCCTCTGGAACAGCAAGAAGCAGAGCATCCTTAGTGTAGCTCTGCAGGTGGGGTCACTTAGCTCTGTGGAGATGTAGAGCTTGTTGGCCAACCACAACAGCTCAAACATGGCTACATTGCTTCTTCTCTGGAGCCAACATGAGCTGAACCAACTCGGGAGTCTCTGCAATGGCAAAAGGAACAGGGTAGAGGCAGGCTGGGCCGGGATGGGGGGAGAAAGGAAGGTAGGAAGGAGTGGCGCCATGGGGTCCTTTAGAGAATAAGTCAATGGGCTGAGGAAAGAGGGCTTCCTTCCACCAGGGTTCAGCTAAGCAGTCCTTGTTACAACCCCAGGGTGATGCAGACAGGAAAAAGGGACAGTCTTCCTCATTCCCAGCACAGGCGACTTGTGGTTTGTCAGTTCTCTCTCTCTGTGGTTCTAGCTCCTTCCTAGTTGGGGAGGGAGTCAAGCCACATTTCCTCAGGGGCTGGATTTGCTGGCCACCATGGGGGGGGAAGCAGGCGAGTCCCAAAGACATCATGCTCAGCAAGAAGGCTTAAACCCTTTCCTTACCAGCTGCTGGGTAAAGCCTCTTGCTGTTCTGTCACTAAGCCCATGTGGGGCAAACAGCTGTCATAGTGGGAAGAAAGCCAACCCTTCAGCAGTGATTGCAACAAGGTGCCTCTCCAGGGGTGGTCCTGGAGTCTCTTCAGCCCTCACTTTCCATAGTGAATCACCCTTTCAGTAGCCTGCTATGCTATGATGTCTCTTATATGAGGGAGGCTTCCCAGGACTTCCTAAATTGCTCTCTCAGATGGCCACCAGGTGCCAGTGGTCACTGCTTTACGGGCTAGTTGAATGGCTGCTTTCCACCCCTACACCACACCCCATGCCTTGCTAATCGACTTTCTCTTCCACTTAGCCCCTCTTCTGGGGTTCCTGGACCCGTACTGGTCCCCCGTTCTCAGCCCTTGGGTCTGGGCTCCAGACTCCTTCACGGGTCTCCAAGAGCCTCCTTCTCCCTTTAGTTCCTCCCCAAACCTCCAGACTGCGTTAGGTGTTACCCTCCACATTGACCTTCTGGAACTGCAGCCATCCTGGTGGGGTGGTGTTTGCTCAGCAGGCTTGTCTCAGGCTCTGGGCCTATACCCTCCTCCTGGGTCAGATGACTGCAATCAGCCCAAGCAGGACCTGCAGGCTGCTTCAGCCCCAACCTGCCTACTCTTCAAGTGGCCAGAGCACCAAGCCTCCTGCCAGAGCGATGTGCGACAATATAGAGTGGCTTGCGCTGCAGATGTTTCTCCGTGCCCACTGGCTTTGCCTACACTTCTTAAGTCTGGTGGTACATCTGTGAGGACTGCTTCTGTGTACATGGCTCAGACAGGAGACCTTGGTGAAGCACCTAATAACCATGCACATACCCGCCCTTGACCTTAGCAGCATGCGACTGCCTGCCATGCAGAACTCAGGAGGCACCTGCTAGGATGTGTTCAGAGAGCTCAGGTTTTTTCCACAAACATTAAAACACATTAATCCCTGGGACAGCTCATGAGGAAGATAAGCCATATTTACCTTACAGAAGAATAAACTGACTGAGGATAATGGTCTCTGGAGACTAACAGCACTTCTGTGGGCTGTGGTTCAGAGGTGCCAGACAGAAAGCAAGTCAGGCAGTCTTCTTTCTGGATATATCCTTAGTGTAGTCTGGCAGGGACACACCTAGCTACATCCCATCCAACCACTCCTGCTTGCAAGTGGGACAAAGCTGCTCTGAGGCCGTCCATAGCATCAGTTCTTAAGTGCTCCAGAGAGTGAGGTCACAAGAGCCTCTTAAGTGACATCACAGCTGCACTACTGGGTGTGGTGCCTGCAAGCCGGGAGTGCTCCGAAACATCCCTGCTGCAATACACAAGAAAGGCCTAGTGCGGACACCCCAAGACAGAGCAAGTGTGTTATGCAGCATTTTGAAATACAGCTTGCAGGGAGTATGCTGCACAGAACATGCCTGCATCTGTTCTGGCAACAGAGCTTTTGCAAATGTGACCTTGATCTAAAAGCTGGAACCCATCCCAGATCCTTGTCCTTCACTAGTCCATTTAGAAGCCCTTGCTGAGTCCGAAATACTAGCAGCTCAGCTGCATTTGCACGATGTCAGAGTAAGGGGACGGCAATGCAGGAGGGTGGGAGCTGAGAAGTCAGAGCAGCAAGTTGTCTTTGGACCCTAAACACAGACTCATTCAGAAGAAGAAAAAAAGGTTACACAAGTTCTCCACTGGACTCTGGCACAAGAAGTGGGCACCGTGACTGAGAAACTGCTGCCTTCTGTTGGTGGCAATTGCACAAGGACACTATTACAGGATCTGCTCTGGGAGCTGAAAAGGTCAAAGTTTCAGCCGAGTCTGGCAACCCACAGAGACCACAGTTGCTGTAGTCACTGATCCACAAGGGAAGGATGTGGTGTGGCCACCTTCAACTCTGCAGCCCAAGTGACCAGATAGCCATTTATAACTGGTTAATTGGAGACAGATTTCAGCACAAGTCCAGGGCAGGGCTGGAAATCACAGCAAGATACCTTTCCTGTTTTGCCATACTATTGGATTGGGTTTTAAAGGATGTAGGCCAGATTTACAACAGGGTTATTTTTATTATTACACTTGACTGCACACATGGACTCATTTTCCTTGGAAAGGAGTTTCACCAGCACCAGAAGCCTTCTTGAGCAGCAGAAGAGGAGGCAGCGGCAACATCCTCAGTTGACTCATGGGGAAGGAAAGAGGGTGCTTTTGCCATGTTGGCATTTGTGGGGGAAGTGCTTTGTAATCAAGAAAGAGGCAATATCTGGGACCTGTTGAAGCCAATGGCACCTACTAGCAGACTTAAGTGGAGCCAGGAGGACTCCCCAGATGTGCTAGCCTATGTGAAGTTGCACATAACACACATTAGTATGTGATGGAGGAGCTGAATCTGTTCCAGATGTTAGGCAATTTGCTTGGTCATCGAGCCTGTATCCATTAGTGGAGCTTTACGGAATGGGCTTAAAAATCGTTCCTTTTCTCCTGAGCCAGTGAAATGGTTCAGAATCCACCCACCCAACCAGGTTCAAGCCCAAATTTCTTTTATTTGGTTAGCTCCTCAGCTTGTCTTCACTCAATCAGCTTCAGTGAAGCTTAGACTGAATTTGAAGCAGCCCTATATACACACACACACACCAATGCTCTGAGCTTATGCAATGACCACCCCAAAACCACTTTTAGAGTAGCTGTAGATGCTACCTTGTGTGGCCATCACCGCTGAGGACTGTGCTGTTCTTGAGCTACAGGCTGCATTGGCGAGGTGGCAGAGTCATGTTGAGGTGCTTTGCTCAAGTGTCTGTTGAGTTTTGAGCTTGCTGAAGTTGGTACCTTTAGGCAAAGCCCAATGCACTGAATTGGCCTCCCATCATCTAATGGCCTCCATAGGCTTAGTAAACTCCAGTGAGTTCTGCCCCAAAGTTAACACCAAGTAGAAAGCTAGGAGCTATGGACTTACAACTGCCCAAAACCTCAAGAGCACACACACGCCTGAGAAATACATGCACATATTGTACCAGCTCTAGAATTACCATCACCCAGCACCTGCAGGGGCAGAGGCAGCCCAACAGTTCTTCCCTGGGAATACATAGTCCAAGCCTTCACCACCAGAAGCTTAGATGCCATCCATGGAAGAGGTTCATCTTGGTTTCCTTGTCCTGCCTCTCTTGCTCTCACAGAGAAGAGAAGACTGTGGCCCACAACCTGCATGGAAATAGGGGGTGAACTACAGGATAGCTGTGGGAAAATACTCCTACTGCAAGAGCAATGCATCAAACAGAGTGCATGCAGAGCAGGAAATGCTCCAGCACACCAAGTAGTGACCATCAGGATCAGTCAGGACTTGGCATTGCAAAGAAAACTGCCCCTTCCCAGATCTCTTCTGGGTTGTGCAGATCCCCTTCCCCGATGTCTCTTCTAAAGTGATCAGCAATGAAATAGTTGTCTAGCAATAAGGACCAGAGAACAGTTGGGTTCTAGATTACTCTATTTACTAACAGGGCTCACCTACGCAAGACACTTATTGCCAAGCTGTCCAATTAGCTCTGCAATAAACTTCTCAGCATCTACACATGCAGTGCTATTAGGACGGAGTAAACCAGTTGACTCCACTGCAGATTGGGACT